CCTCAACCGGACAAGCCGAGGGAGCCGACTCCGATGTCTACCTGAAGCCAGTGGCCATCTACCCAGATCCATTTAGGCAGGGAAAGAACAAGTTGGTCATGTGCGAGACCTATGACAACAAGAAGAAGCCAACTGGTTAGTTTTTAGGCTTTCTAGGCTGATATACTGTAAACACTCTAATAAAAAGTCACCCAACTTTAAGCTCATATATCTCAGTTCTCATAAAAGATAGCAAAAAGTGATCAACTGTTGAAATGTTGCTAGTATTATGGAAAATATTTTATCAGTTGACCACTTTTTGATATCTCTCACAGGAAGCGAGATATATAGGCTCAAATTTGGGTAACCTTCTATTAGAGTGTTTACGGTATTTTTGGGGGGACTGTTTACCTTGAAACAGAGATAATTAGGACAGTTTTGGTTGGTCATTCACTAACCTTTAAGAAGAAAAATAACATAAGATATGAGAGAGTGACTAGAGAAGCAGAGATGACCATTGTGTCAGGTGGTCAGTATGTTATTGTTTATCAGTGAGAAATGGATAACATCATTTTGCAGGGAAAATGAGAAAACCGGTTTTAGAGATTTTAGATGAATAAGATTAACAAAAAATTACTGTTTCAAGATTTTCATTTTTAGAAGTTGAGGGTTTTAAAAATTGATTCATCGTCGGTTGAAGAAAATTGTACGTCCTATTCAAAAAATCAACCAGTTAAAAAAATTTCCTCTTCACATTATCCTTAAAAGTCAGATGAAATGGTTTAAATTTGATTGGATGCCGTCCAGTACTTTTAGAATCTATAAATTTCACTGTTTCAAATTTTCGATTTCAATAAGAACAGATTTTTTTTATTTTGTACTCCAAACTTTGAACTCAATTATCTCGGTTCCTATGAGAGATATCAAAAATTTGTTCACTGATAAAATATTGGTAATATTATGATAAAAATTTTATCAGTTGATCACTTTTTGATATCTTTTACTGGAACCGAGATAATTGAGCTCAAAGTTTGAACTCTAGAGTCCAACTTAGAAGTTAGGGTGCCCTAGAGGTATTACAACATGTATTAGAGGTATTACAACATGAATTGAAAATCAAAACTAGACACTTCCCCAGAAACTTTTGACCTTCAAAAAATCACATTCTTTTCACAAGGTGTGCTTTGATGTACGTGTCAGTTTAAACTAGACACTTCTTTTCTCTCTCTCTCTCTCTCTCTCTCTCTCTCTCCACATACCGCCCGTGTGGTGGGCTCTAATCGGACCACCGTTTGCTCTTCTTCTTCTTCTATGCCATTAGACCGTTTATAGTCTATAATCGGATGGGTCAATACGGCAATGTACTATGTACAGAAGGTGAATGGTGTGGTGTTGATTATGATGATAAGATGATAAGAGAAATGAACTGATAAACTTCGGGAAGCTTTTATTGTTTAAAGGGAAATAAGGGAAATTTGAAAATTGTAATTTTGTGGAAAACATATTATTGATGAAGAGCATCAACGAAGCAAAAAATTATAAAAATTACCAAACAAAAAATTCTTTTGCAATGTTTGAAACATTAAAATAAATAAAAATTCCAGCCACCAACTTCCGTGTGCGATGCAAGGAGGTCATGGAGAAGGCTGCCGATCAGCACCCATGGTTCGGTATGGAACAGGAATACACCCTTCTCGACATCGATGGACATCCATTCGGATGGCCAAAGAACGGATTCCCAGGACCACAAGGGCCATACTACTGTGGAGTCGGAGCCAACAAGGTCTACGGTCGCGACATCGTCGAGGCTCACTATCGCGCCTGCCTCTACGCCGGAATCCAAATCTCGGGAACCAACGCCGAGGTGATGCCAGGACAATGGGAGTTCCAAGTTGGACCATGCGAGGGAATCCAGATGGGAGATCAACTCTGGGTGGCTCGCTACTTGCTTCAACGTGTCGCGGAAGAGTTCGGAGTGATCGCCTCGTTCGATTGTAAACCAATTAAGGGAGACTGGAATGGAGCTGGATGCCATACCAACTTCTCCACTGAGAAGATGAGAAATCCAGGAGGAATTGAGTGAGTTTTGATTTTGGTTAGGCTTGTCTGAAGCACCTTGAGCTAGCTTGGCCAATTCAGGCTAGTCCGGTCCACCTCAAACTAGCTGAGCTCACCACAGGCTAGTTTAAGCTATTTTAAGTTAGTTTAAGCTAGCTTAAGCTATCAAACTACCCTGGAATAGCATAGGCTAGCTCAAACTAATTCAGGTTGACTTGATGTGGTTTAAGCTAGCTCAGGTTAACTTGAGCCACCTTTCGGATACCCTCAGGCAACCCCAAACAAACTTAGGTCAGCCTCAGGCTACTGTAAACTGCCTCATGCTGTTTTCAAGCTTCCTAAAACTACCTCAAATGCTTCAGGTTAGCTGAGACTTCTTCAAGTCAATTCCGACTAGTTTAAGCTAGCTCATGTCACATCCGGCTAGCTTGGCTTATCTAGGTAACCTTAAATTAGCTTCATTTATCTCAGTCTATCTTCAGACTCGGTTTGGTTACCTTAGACCATCTTAGGCTTGACCCATGTGGCTTTAGTTTACATCAAGCTTGCTTCGGTCAGCTTAAGTTGCCTCAAACTTTGTTAGGCTGGTTCAAGCGTCCTCAGGCTAGCTCGAGCTGTGTTAAGCTACCTTCAGGCTGGTTTAGGCTAATTTAGGTTTCCTTACACTACTTCAAACTACTTAAGGCTAGCTAAACATGCTTCGGGCTAGCTTATAAGACCACTTCACGCCAGCTTATGCTACCCCAGGCCAGCTGAAACTACCTTAAACTTGCTCAGTGGGTCTAAGGTTTCCTAGCTATCTACGGTTCAGATCAATTAGCAATGCGGCATCATTTTTATATATGACTAGAACCTGAAACATGTAAACATTATACCTCAAACTTTTCGATCCCAAACTAACTTCCTCAAATCTTTCAGCGAGATCATGTCCGCCATCAACAAGCTCTCCTTGGTCCATCCACAACACATTGCCTACTACGATCCACATGGTGGAAAGGATAACGAGCGTCGTTTGACCGGACTCCACGAGACTGCTTCCATCGACAAGTTCTCCTATGGAGTCGCCTCTCGTGCCTCATCCATCCGTATTCCACGCTCCACCGATGACGATGGTTACGGTTACTTTGAGGATCGTCGTCCATCTTCCAACTGTGATCCATACACTGTCACCGGAGCCCTTGTTAGAACCACGTGTCTTGAAGGAGCTGAGCGCAAGTTGTCGATGATGTATGTGCCAAGCCAGGCTCCAAATGTCCAGAAGCACTAATTAGGTGCGAATAGTGTGTGATTCTTTGATAATATTGCTTATGATGTTTTGCTTAATTTTTCACCATTGATTGACTGTAACTGCTCTATATATTTTTAAGTGTACAAATAAAATTTTCAAAATTCATAAATTTTTTGGGTTATCATGAAGCAGATTTTACCTGAAAACTGGTTAAATTGGGCAAAGCTAGAAAATATGAAAAATTAAAATTCGAATGGCAACAAGGGAGAGGGTGAGCAATTATTTGACCACAGTTAACTGGAAATGCTGCCATTGAAACCGAAAAAATGTTGAATTGCTCTAGAATGGATTATTCGAGTTTCTTTATTTTAAGATTTTATGATCAACCGGAAACCGAATTTTTCTAATATTTGAGCTTTAAAAATCATTATTTAATTATCATTCTGTTTCGCAATACGCTGATCCATTGAATATTATTAAATCAAATTCACATCTCGGGAACCAACGCCGAGGTGATGCCAGGACAATGGGAGTTCCAAGTTGGACCATGCGAAAGAATCCATGGGAGATCAACTCTGGGTGGATCGGTACTTGCTTCAACGTGTCGCGGAGGAGTTCGGAGTGATCGCCTCGTTCGATTGTAAACCAATTAAGGGAGACTGGAATGGAGCTGGATGCCATACCAACTTCTCCACTGAGAAGATGAGAAATCCAGGAGGAATTGAGTGAGTTTTGGTTAGGCTTTCTTGAAGCACTTCAAACTAGCTTAAGCTATTCATGCTAGTCCGGCCCACTTTAAGCTAGCTGAGTCCACCACAGGCTAGCTTTAGCTAGTTTATGATAGTTTAAGCTAGCTTAGAATAGCTTAGGATGGCTTAAGCTAGTTCAAACTACTTCAGAATACCATAGACTAGCTCCAGCTGACTTAGGTCAACTTAAGGTAACTTAACCTAGCCCAGGTTTACTTGTGATACGTATAGGTTACCCTAACCTACTTCAAATTGATTCAGGCTAACTTCAAACTTCTTAAGGCTAGCTAAGGATGGTTCAGTGGAGTATTAGACGAACTAAAGCTGCCTCCGGCTATGTTAGGCTAGTTCAAAATCGAGAAAACAAAGAGACAAGCAATTATTCGATTAAAATTAACTGGATGTTTTGTAGTTTTTGAAACCGAAAGTTTTTCAATTGTTCCAGAACGGATTATCGAATATATTATTGAAATGAATCTGAACATTTAGACACTTTGAAACAGTAAAAATGTATAAAAACGTTTTTTTTTCGTTTTTTAACCCCATCATTGACTAACTAAAAAAATCAAATTTAGCTCCAGACCCCCTGAAACAGCATGCAAACGTACAAACACCACTCAAAGCAAAACCAAAAAAAACATTGCTCCCGGTGAGGCTCGAACTCACGACCTTCAGATTATGAGACTGACGCGCTGCCTACTGCGCTACGGAAGCAGGCGAAAGAGAGGGGACGACATGGCGTATTTGAACTAGTGGGGAGCGGGGAAAAAGAGGGAGCAGAGAAAGAGAGGAGAAGAAAAAGAGGTGTAAGTTTTTCAATGTGAATTTTGTGTGACATTATTTTTTGGTTCTTCTAGGAATGGAGTATCCAACGGATATGATAATCAAAAGCTTTAGGTAATATTGTGAAACAGAAAACATTAAGAAGAGTTTATTTCCTTATAAAAAAAGCTGCTTTAAATCTTTAAAAATGAATTCAAAAAAATCTATGCAACAACTTCAAATTCATCATGATAGATCAAGTGTTTGTCGCCTTCCTTTTTCCAGATTTGCAAGAATTTTCCGTTGATAGTTCCAGCTTTTTCTGTTTCCGATGTGAAATCGGCAGTGATAATCAGGTACTCTCCGGTTCCTTGATAAGTGGCATTTGAAAATGTGGATGTCGATTTTCCAGTGCTTTCAGCGAACTTGATGAACTCTTGTTTCATAGCTAAAGGATTTATCAGATTTTATAGCATACTGTAGCACCTACTCACCTTCTTTTCCATAAGTCGCCTCTTTTCCCTTTTGAACAATCACTCCATTTGGATGGTAATAGGCGATGACACCTTCCCAATCCTTGTCGTCAATGGTCTTGCAGTATGCATCGAATTGAGGTTTTAGAGCTTTTTGAGCGTCTGAAAATTGATGGATTTGTTGGTTTTTTTTGTTTTTTTGAGAACTTTGAAATATTGCTGTTTCATAATTTTGTTGAAGTTTGGTATTTTAAGGTAATGCAATGCAAACTAGACTTTTTGACTGTACAAAAAATTGTTTTGCAAACTTCTCGAAATTCTAATATTTCAATTATGTTGATCCTCTGAATTTTCTGAAAAATATCTCAATTTTTTTTAATTTTTGAAAAAAAATTAAATGTTGCAGAAAAACCTTAAATGCTAGTTTCTGGTCTCTCTCCAGAAATTTCAACTTTGACTATTTTGCGAATTTTCAGAAATCGGCTTTTCGCTTCAAACAGCTGGCTGGGGCGTCTTCGCCGCGATTCAACCTAATTATGTCTGTTCGTCGCTTTGCTGCTCAGTCTTTTTTTAAAGGTCACATCAATTCATATTTAATTTTCAAGCTCTTTACAAGTGTGCGGACAAACTGACAAATCGAGAAAGAGACGCAACTTCATTTGTTTCTTATAAGAATGATAACAATTGATATCAACATGTAGAATATTCCATATTTTAGACGAAAAAATTAAAAAATAAAATTACTAAAATTTTAAAGACACTGATTTTCAATATCCTGAAATTCTGGAAGTTTCTAATATTTAGGATTTATGACCTCTGAATTCCAGAATTTGAATTTACAAATCCACAATTCCTGACAAAAAAAATTGAAAACTAAAATTACTAAAACTTTTAAGACACAGATTTTTTTAACTCTGTAGTTTTGGAAACTTATAACATTTAGGATTTTTAGAACTTTCAACATAAATGGAGGAATATAAATTTTCCCTTATCTTTCAATTTTTGATGTCCAGGTGAAATTAAGTCAAAATTGATACAGTTTCTTGAAATTGATATCTACTTTTTAAAAATATAACTGTTGTTGTGATATTAACACACAGTTGATTTCAAATTATCAAATTTCATAAATTCTGGAATTCTGAAAACTTCAAATGTTCAGGATCCCAGAATTCAAGAATTCTGAATTTCTCATTCAACCGTTTACTGATTTTACCAGGTAGAAATCGAAGAAAAAACTGTTTCATAAATTTTTTAATTTTCGATGTCTAGGTGAAATTTTCAGTTGTGTTGTTGACTTTTCAGTAAGAATACGGTTGAAATTTCTAAAGACCTAAAAAATGCAATTTTCATAAAAATCATAAATTTCACAGAAAAAAATACTGTTTCACTTATTTTCTGACTTTTTATTTCTAGGTGAAACTTTCAGTGAGAAATTCATAGAAATTACTAAAAATTAAGAAAAAATTTTCATAAAAATAAAAATCTTTCTGTTTCTCAAAAATGATATTCACAAATTATAACAATTAATACATAGTTCTTCATTTAAAAAATTTAATTCTATTTTTCTAAATTCTGGAGTTCAAAAATTCTGGATTCCTCATCCAACCGTTTCCTGATTTTGCCAGATTGTAAGGATAAATTTTTAGTAAGTATCATATGGAAATTTCTGAAAATCCAAAAAAATCAAGATTTTCACAGTTTCTGAAAATTAATATTCACTTTTTGAAAATTATAACAATTAATATCAGACTATTAAACAATTGACATCAAATTATCAAACTTCCGAAATTCTGAAATTCTGGAAATTTCAGAATTTTCAAGATTCCAGAATTCCAGGATTCTGAATTTTTTTCAACCGTTTCCTGATTTCACCAGATTATAAGGAATTCTGGAATTTTCTCAAGAAATCGAAAAAAAATTGTTTTACTCATTTTTTGATTTTTGATGTCCAGGTGAAATTTTTAGTAAGTTTCCTGTGGAAATTTCTAGTATCCAAAAAATGCAATTTTCAAAAAAAATCAAACGTTTTACAGTTTCTTTGAATTGATATTCCTTATTTCAAAATTATAACAATCGATATCAAATTATTTAATTTCCTAAAGGTGGTGTACGGTGAAATTTTTTATTGCTTCAAAATGTGCAGAAATGCATGTAGATTGACATAAAAATAAAGAAAAAATTCAAAAAAAATTCCTTCATCGAGAAAAACGCATCGAAAAATACGCTGAAAGCCCTTACTATTAGGGACGAGGTTTTTTTTCTAGGCGCGCCCGAGTGAGTAAAAGCGCGAGAATTCAAACTTTTAAAATTTTTCCACTCGTTTTCACAGTTTTTTTCAAATTTTCCGATGTATCTGGAAGAAAAATTGACAAAAACCTGGAAAACTCTTGAAAAAACCGAAAAAAGTGAAAACGAGCGAAAAAATTTTAAAATTTTGAATTCGCGCGCTTTTACTCACCGGGCGGCATAGAAAAAAACCTCGTCCCTAAGGGCTTTCAGCGTATTTTTCGATGCGTTTTTCTCGATGAAGGAATTTTTTTTGAATTTTTTCTTTATTTTTATGTCAATCTACATGCATTTCTGCACATTTTGATGCAATAAAAAATTTCACCGTACACCACCTTTAAACTCTGGAATTCTGAAAGCTCAAAATTTCCAGTATTCCAGAATATCGAAAATTCGGAAAAAATTCTTTTTTTTTAAATTATAACAATTGATTGGCAGGCGTCCACATTTCCAAACAAAAAAAAAATTTAAAACCCATGAAATTCTGGAAATCTGGAAATTTCAAAATTTCTGAATCCCAAAAACTCACCATCCGGCGAAAACGAGGTCATCCTTCTTCTTCTTCTTGACAGCAGCCAAAAAATAGAACCCAATCTATCATATTTAAGTGTCCACCTGTCCCTTTAAATACTCATATCTTCCGCCTCTTTTCTCTAAATCTCTCATTTTCCCATACTCTCTCTAACCAAGGCACGAGGTACATAACTCCACTTTTTATCAACGATTCTATCCCTTTTTTTTCAAAAAAAAATATTTTCAACAACACAAAACACGCATTTTCGTATTGAGAGAAAACTGGTTTTGGGTTGGGTTGGAACAGAAAATTCATTTAAAATTTAGATTTGAAATTTGAGAGTTGAAAAGAAAAATAGTGCAGAGAATTGAGAGAATTAGAGAAACGGATGGTTATTTGTTGTGACATCGAGAGACCAAAAGTCCCTTTGTTTACTGAACTCTTCAAACCGAAGACTAGACTCCATTTGTCAGAAAAAAGGTTTTTTGGTTTTGGGAAAAATTTTGGAAAACGGAAATTTGGAACTGGAAATTGTGAAGTTCGGAAATTCCTTAGTTTTATTGGATTTCCGTAGTTTTTGGATTTTGGATTCTTAGATTCTCGGGTTTTTAGATTTTTCGATTCTTTGGATTCTTGGATTCTTGAATTCTTGGATTCTTGGATTTTGGATTCTTGGATTTTTCGATTCTTTGGATTCATTGGATTTCTGGAACTTAGGATTCTTGGAATCTTGGATTCTTGGATTCTTGGATTCTTGGATTCTTGGATTCTTGGATTATTTGGGTTCTCAGATTCTTGAATTTTTAGATTCTTTAGATTCTTTGGTTTTCTAGAATTTTGGGTTTTGAATTTCTGGATTTTTAATATTTTTGGAAAATCGGAACTTTGGAAATTTAAAACTTTCAAAATTTAGAACATGGAAATTTGGAATTTTAGAACTTTTGAAGTTTCTAACTTTGGAATTCTGAAAACTTTGGAATTCCCAAAATTTGACTCTAACCGAAAATTCTAACTAATTAGACAAAGATTTTTAGTACATATACTGCCTGATTTTTTTAACGAAAATTCTGGTATTCTGTAAAAATGAAACTTTTCAGTTTCATAAAGTTTTCAATTTGATAACACTAATAGGATAGATAATATATCCGGGAATTAAAAAAATTATAATCTCCTTAATTCGAAATTCTTCGACATCTTTAATTATTAAGGACATTTTGATGCGAAAAGTACGTACTTATTACATTTATCATTAGTTGAATCAAATTAACAATTTTATGAAACTGCAAACTTTTGATTTTTTTTTGGCAATTAAAGGAGGCGAGACAGCAAAAATTGCCTGTCATGAGTTCAACCCCTCATGGGGGTTCTCTATGCAAAATATCAGGAAAACTTTTTTTTGGTGTCTGGCCTCCTTTAAGGTCAAATTTCGAATATACTGAAATTTAAGATTTTGCATTTTTTCTTCTGGAAAAAATTTAACAGCAATAATTTTCTGAAACGATTTCTTTCAAAAGAAAATGTTCGCAAAATCTTTTTGTTTCAATCATTTTAAAGTCAGAAAATTGTGAAATGTTATCTTTTTGAAACTGAAAAAAGTTCCAATTGGAGTTGGATTTTAGAAATACTGTACTAAAAAACTTCGTCTAATTAGTTAGAATTTTCGGTTAGAGTCAAATTTTGGTTTCAAAACGTCAAAATCGATATAACTGACAATTGAAATTTTTGCTTATTTTTCTTGAACAATTGTAACCGAAATTAATTTTTTTTTAAATTTCAGCAACCATAAGAACTTTTCAGCGGTCTGGAGATCGGCTGCCAAGTTTCCGATCACTTTGAAAACTTTGGAGGGTGTAAAACAGATCTAGACTATGAACTTTGCATTCACATAGAGTTTTTTGAAAATTCCTAGTTTTTCTGCTATTTGCCGATTTCTGGAAGACACCCTCTTTTGGCTCTTTTTCGAACCAAAGTTCTAGAGAAACTTGAATAACTATGTATTCAAAAAAAAAATCAAAAATTCAATTTTTCAAATTACTTTCAAAGTTCCGTACACCAGGTATCAATTGCATCATCTCTAGGACACACTGAACACAAATAGCACAATAAGAGAGATTGAAAAACAGAAGAGACGCAGACAGTAAAAGTGTCCGAAAGGTTGATGGAAGTGAGTGAACGTAGTCAAAGTGACCTATAGCATAGTGTAGATGGTGGTATAAATAGGGGAGGATGAGCAATTGGGAAACAAGATACTTCTTGAAGTTTACTTCGATTTTCTGAATTTTCCGCTTTTTAACAACAATGGCATCCTACACTGCTCAACGTAAGATTTCAAAAATTTTAAAATGTTTAACTTAGAAAAGAGCCAATAATACTGATATTTTTGGATCAGTTTTTAATGATAATCCTGAAACAGTATTTTTTTGAAATCAAAAAAAAATTAAAATAAAAACGGATCAAAAAACTTCCGCTACATCTAAATTTAAAAAAATTTTTGGAAGTTTCGTTGATTCAAATTTGAAATATCTGAAAATTCGGAAATCTGGAAATATGAAAATCTGAAAAATCGGATATCTGAAAATTCGGGAACCTGTAAATTTAGAATCTGAAAAATGTCAGAAATCTGAAATTCGAAAATCGAAAAAATTTCACTGTTTCAAAATCAAGGTATTTTCTAAAAATATTTGAAAAATTGCTAAAAGGAAATAAAATGATGAATAAACAACTTTCCAGAAGCCGAAGCCGCTTTGAAGCCACAATTCGAGGTATACGGTAAGGCTGTGGATGATGAGAAATGGGACGTTGTCGAGGGATTCTACCATCCAAATGGAGTCTTGGTTCATAAGGATAAGGAATCCGTTTATGGAAATAAGGGTGAGCAATTTTTAAAAAATTATTTTTGACAAACATTTATTATTCAAAATGTGTATATCAAAACTTTTTTGGGGTTTTTGAAACCGTTTTTTTTCGCATCTCAAAATTTTGTCAGCTTACTATTGAAACTGGAACTACAGCATTTCCTCTAATAGAAACCCATCCAAACCGTCAACTTTGAGCTCAAATATCTCGATTCCTGTGAAAGATATAAGAAATTCGTCAACTGATAAATTATTTACCATAATATCACCAATATTTTATCAGTTGACAATTTTTTGATATCTGTTACAGGAACTGAGGTAATTGAGCTCAAAGTTGATGGTTTTGGTGGGCTTCTATCAGAGAAAATACAATAATTTCGGATTTCATGAAACTGTATTTTTTCCGAAATTTAAAATTTTACCTAAATACCTCTGGAACTAGAACTTTAAAATGAAATTCTAAAAACAGTTTTTTCCCTGAAATTCCAAAAAATTTATCTTCCAGCCATCACCGCCTATTTGGCCAAGTTTGCCGAAGGAACTGGAAAATCGGTCGCCACAATTTCCAACGCCAAATACGAAGGAGCTGGAGACTACCTGATTGTCACTGCTGACTTTTCAGCCGTAACTGAAAAAGCTGGAACTGTCAACGGAAAATTTTTGCAAATCTGGAAGAAGGAAGGAGATAGGCACTTGGTTTATCATGATGAATTTGAGATCACTGCTTAGATTTTGTTTTCGGATTTTTTAAAAACTTTTTTAATGTTTCAAGAAGTGCATTAAGAATGAAAAGAATTGCATTTTTATTATATTCTTATCGATTTCTAGTTGCTGTTTTTTTCAATTATCCGGATTTTCAGATATCCGAATTTTTAGAATTCCAAATTTTCAGATTTCCGAATTTCCAAAATTCCAAAATTCTAAATTTTCAAATTCCCGAATTTTCAGAATTCCAAAGTTAGAAACTTCAAAAGTTCAAAGATTCCAAATTTCCATGTTCTAAATTTTGAAGTTTACTGTTGCTGTAAATCGGCGTTTTTCCAGGAAATTACTCCTGGAAATCAACTTTGAACGCGGCATAAGAGATTAATTTCGAATAAACTGATTGGAGGTTCACACATTAGCAAAGGTTAATCTTATAGTTTTGAACTTGGGCCTGAATCACAACCTATGTGTCAATTACTCATAAGAAGTGTCATGTGAATTTAAAATGGATTTTTCTTGGCTAGGGCGGGGCTTATCTCGGTATCAATGATCTATTACAATTTTTATCATTTTTATCAAATTAACATTTTTTTGAACCTGGAAGTTTTTTATTTCCAATTTTCTTGTAAAAAAAATCAGGCAGTATACTTAGGCACCACAAAGATTTTTTCAAACTCATTTTTCCAGCGAATTGTTTGTATTATCGTATTCACCATATCAATATTAGTATAATTCCGAATTTTTTTTCGAAAATGTTCATCCGTTCTCGAGATACACCCTTTTTTGTAACCCCCTTTTTCATCCATTTTCTCTGAACATGTATATTGTAGCAAATTTTTCGTAGAATCTGAATATGTAATAAAAATCTGCGACATCGACCTGCATTACCGTCAAAATTCGCAAAAACGTCTAAATTTTTGAACCATGTCATCTTTGGATGCGTTTTTTGCTAGCTCAAACTTTTTCAAATGTCGTCAAATTGCATATCTGAACAGTCATAGAATTGATCTAAGTATTTTGATATTAAAAACATGGGGTCATCGCTGAAAAAAATTCACAATTTTTGCTTGAAGTTTGATGGATTACTGCAAAAATGGGGGAACTGCTGGCTAAATATGGCTTAATGCATCTTATTCACCATCTAAAAAAGTATTTAGAACAATTATAAAAAGAAGCGACATCGACTTTTATTACACTTTTCAGACCAAATTTCTCATGTCGATTTCTGTTTTTCACGAGTATTTTGAAAGTCGTTGGTTTTCAACGCAAACGCTTTACATCAGTCGATTCTACGTGTTTTTTTACATAACGAGACCAAATTTCATAAAAATCGGTCCATCCAGTCTCGAGTTCTACGCCTTCAAACATGCCAGATACCCCCCAAGAGAAAAAAAATTAGGCTCCGCCCCCTCGCGTTGCGGTGCCTAAGTATACTGGAAAATTTCGACTAATTTTTCTCTAATCTAATTTTTCAGAGATTTCAGACAGTTTAGGTCAAATTTTTGCATTATTATTTGGAACAAATGTAACCGAAATCTCTTTTTGGGTTTTTGATTTCAATTCAATTGATTTTATAGATTTTATAGTAGGTGGAAGTGGGCGGGACTTGCCCCGCTTAAAATCTCCTGCCCCCCTTTTTTTTCAAATGTTCTATTATATTAACCAAAAAATAATGTTCCTGAGATGGATAGATTACAATTTCTTAAAGTTTTATCAAATTAAACAATTTATGACACTGAAAAAGTTTCAAGAATTTTGAATTGAGGCAAATAGGATCTTTTTTAAATAGATAGATTTATATGAAGTCAAAACATCAAGTGCGAGATGTATTATCCTTTGACATGGTTAGGAAAGTAGGCGGAGCCATTTAAAAATTTATAGAGAAGAATTAGCTGAGCTTTTAGCCTACGATGTCGAATGGAGAACGTATTGAGGATAGAGGGACGATCAGAATAGGAACTGTACTGGATATTACAACGCTGGAAAATACACTTAGAGAAAAATCTTAAGGGAGATTCTAGTTTTAGAGCAAGGCGAGAAGAAGGCGGAGGGGAATAAACTACAGAACAATATTCAAGAATCGGGAGAACATAACATTTGAAAAGATGAATGTAGAATTCTGGAGACTTAGATCTAAATGACTTTAAGAGTTGTTTGGAACGGAGAAGAGCTAAAGATGTGATTTTGTTGATGTGAGCAGAGAATTTGAGAGAGGAATCAGTAATGAGTCCCAAGTCCCGGACGGAGGAGGGAGTAAGTGTGACACCCGAAAAAATTTTTGATCTCTATTCTTGTACAATCTCTATTCTTGTACAAACATAAAAATTGAAAACTTTATGAAACTGAAAAACTTTGTCTCTTAGTTATTATGATTTTATATGTTTTGTTTAAAAAAAATTCAAGCAGTATACTAAAAAAATGTCGTCTAATTTCGTAATTAGTAAGGATTTTCAAATAGGGTCAAATTTCGTTTTTTAAAGGTGGTATAAGGTGAAATTTTTTATTGCGTCAAAATGTGCAGTAATGCATGTAGATCAACATAAAAATAAAGAAAAAATTCAAAAAAATTCCTTCATTGAGAAAAACGGCGAACGGTATTTGAATTTTTTTGAATTTTTATGTTAATCTATTAGGTTGGCGGGAAAGTCTTTGTCACTCTGTTTGTTTAATCACTGTTCTCGTATATGGAGGCTGTGTATGATATCGACTCTAGTGAATAACAAGGTGATAAGAACCTTCCATATAAACAAGTCCCCATCTCCTTCCCTGCTCCTCATCTGTAATTGAAACGATATGTTTGTTCCCACTGCTATTCACATCAGACATGTTTTGATTTACCTCTTCCTATCTCACACCACGATGAAGGATTCGGAAACTTTCTTGAAGAATGTGTACAACACACATGCCCCTCACTACAATACTATTCGCAATTGGTTCCATCGTTTCGAAAAAGATGACTTCTCGCTCGATGAAAAGGATCGCTCTGGGAGACCCCGTGAGTTGGATTTGGACAAGCAGAAGCACGCATTGCAATCGGATCCATTTCAATCTAGCCGTGAACTAGCTGTCACATTCGGAGTTCACCATAGCACAGTCCTTGAAGGTTTGAAGTCTCTTGGAATGAGAAAACTTTTTGGTCGATTCATACCTCATCACCTGACTCAAGCCAACCTTGACCGCCGAGTCGACGATTCGATTACTCTTCTCACTCTCCACGCGAGCGATCGATGGCTGGACCGGCTAATAACCGGAGATGAGAAGTGGGTCTTCTACGATAATCACCACAGGAAATCCCAGTGGGTTGGAGAAGGAGAGAGCCCACAGGATGTCCCCAAACCCGACCTTCATCCGAAAAAAGTTATGCTCTCTGTGTGGTGGGGAGTGGACGGCCCCATCTACTGGGAACTTCTGCCCGAGGGCAAAACAATAACTGGAGACCTCTACACTACTCAACTACGAAACCTCAAGAAAGCAGTCGACCGTTCGGCCCTGAAAGACAAGAAAGTGTACTGTCAACATGATAACGCTCGCCCACATGTTTCGAAACAAGTGAAGCAGGAGCTGATGGGATATGGATGGAATGTTCTCCCTCACCCCCCGTATTCTCCTGATCTTGCTCCTTCCGACTATTGGTTATTTGGCGATATGACACGTGCCTTCGAAGGAAGAAGCTTCAATTCCCGTGGAGCGGTCGAAGCGGCACTCAAACAATACTTTGCCTCACGCCCGGCTGGATTCTACCGCAATGGAATCCATAAATTGAGGGAACGTTGGAGACATGTTGTTGATAATGATGGACAATAAATTAATTATTCGGTTATTTTTTCTTTGAGAAATAAACTATTGAAAAAGTGACAAAGACTTTCCCGCCAACCTAATACATGTATTTCTGCACATTTTGATGCAATAAAAATTTCACCTTATACCACCTTTAAAAAACGAAATTTGACCCTATTGGAAAATCCTTACTAATTACGAAATTAGACGACATTTTTTTAGTATACTGCTTGAATTTTTTTAAACAAAACATATAAAATCATAATAACTAAGAGACAAAGTTTTTCAGTTTCATAAAGTTTTCAATTTATTAACATTAATAAGAAGGATAATACATCTCGCACTTGATGTTTTGACTTAATATAAATTTATCAATTTAAAAAAGATCCTATTTGCCTCAATTCAAAATTCTTTTTTAAGCGGGTCCCGCCTACTTCCACCTACTATAAAGTCAATTGAATTGAAATTGAAAATCCAAAAAGAGATTTCGGTTACATTTGTTCCAAATAATAATGCCAAAATTTTACCTAAACTGTCTAAATCTCTGAAAAATTAGATTAGAGAAAAATTAGTCGAAATTTTCCAGTATACTGCCTGATTTTTTTACAAGAAAATTGGAAATAAAAAACTTCCAGGTTCAAAAAAATGTTAATTTCATAAAAATGATAAAAATTGTAATAGATCATTGATAGCGAGATAAGCCCCGCCCTAGCCAAGAAAAATCCATTAAAAAAATTTATCTGTTTCTTTTAATTTTTTTCACATGACACTTCTTATGAGTAATTGACACATAGGTTGTGATTCAGGCCCAAGTTCAAAACTATAAGATTAACCTTTGCTAATGTGTGAACCTCCAATCAGTTTATTCGAAATTAATCTCTTATGCCGCGTTCAAAGTTGATTTCCAGGAGTAATTTCCTGGAAAAACGCCGATTTACAGCAACAGTAAACTTCAAAATTTAGAACATGGAAATTTGGAATCTTTGAACTTTTGAAGTTTCTAACTTTGGAATTCTGAAAATTCGGGAATTTGAAAATTTAGAATTTTGGAATTTTGGAAATTCGGAAATCTGAAAATTTGGAATTCTAAAAATTCGGATATCTGAAAATCCGGATAATTGAAAAAAACAGCAACTAGAAATCGATAAGAATATAATAAAAATGCAATTCTTTTCATTCTTAATGCACTTCTTGAAACATTAAAAAAGTTTTTAAAAAATCCGAAAACAAAATCTAAGCAGTGATCTCAAATTCATCATGATAAACCAAGTGCCTATCTCCTTCCTTCTTCCAGATTTGCAAAAATTTTCCGTTGACAGTTCCAGCTTTTTCAGTTACGGCTGAAAAGTCAGCAGTGACAATCAGGTAGTCTCCAGCTCCTTCGTATTTGGCGTTGGAAATTGTGGCGAGCGATTTTCCAGTTCCTTCGGCAAACTTGGCCAAATAGGCGGTGATGGCTGGAAGATAAATTTTTTGGAATTTCAGGGAAAAAACTGTTTTTAGAATTTCATTTTAAAGTTCTAGTTCCAGAGGTATTTAGGTAAAATTTTAAATTTCGGAAAAAATACAGTTTCATGAAATCCGAAATTATTGTATTTTCTCTGATAGAAGCCCACCAAAACCATCAACTTTGAGCTCAATTACCTCAGTTCCTGTAACAGATATCAAAAAATTGTCAACTGATAAAATATTGGTGATATTATGGTAAATAATTTATCAGTTGACGAATTTCTTATATCTTTCACAGGAATCGAGATATTTGAGCTCAAAGTTGACGGTTTGGATGGGTTTCTATTAGAGGAAATGCTGTAGTTCCAGTTTCAATAGTAAGCTGACAAAATTTTGAGATGCGAAAAAAAACGGTTTCAAAAACCCCAAAAAAGTTTTGATATACACATTTTGAATAATAAATGTTTGTCAAAAATAATTTTTTAAAAATTGCTCACCCTTATTTCCATAAACGGATTCCTTATCCTTATGAACCAAGACTCCATTTGGATGGTAGAATCCCTCGACAACGTCCCATTTCTCATCATCCACAGCCTTACCGTATACCTCGAATTGTGGCTTCAAAGCGGCTTCGGCTTCTGGAAAGTTGTTTATTTATCATTTTATTTCCTTTTAGCAATTTTTCAAATATTTTTAGAAAATACCTTGATTTTGAAACAGTGAAATTTTTTCGATTTTCGAATTTCAGATTTCTGACATTTTTCAGATTCTAAATTTACAGGTTCCCGAATTTTCAGATATCCGATTTTTCAGATTTTCATATTTCCAGATTTCCGAATTTTCAGATATTTCAAATTTGAATCAACGACTTTTTTCCAAAACTTCCAAAATCTTTTTTAAATTTAGATGTAGCGGTTTTTTGATCCGTTTTTATTTTAATTTTTTTTTGATTTCAAAAAGATACTGTTTCAGGATTATCATTTCCGAGACTCTCATGCGAACCTTCTTTAGTGCTCTCGTCTTTTTCCGCAGCTTGTACCATTACAGCGACTGGAGCTCTGGAATGAGATACAGGTCAATAAGTCTTCGAAAATGGATGTACTCATACCGGTTTGTTAATGTACGTTTGTGTCCTCTAGCGAAATAGCTTTTCATAGTTTGCATGTTTGTAAATTTTCTCTTAATCATCATAGTCTTGGGGATGTAGATGAAATAGATATTCTTCATGAAACTCAAGACAATTTAACTGAAAGAGCGGGATTCTTAACTGTGCGATCTTACTAATAAACTCACTTGAATCCTACTTTGTAAAATTATCGTTCTTAATAAATCGAGCTCTCTATCTTTCCTGACAACGTAAGGTTCCCAAGTTTTCCATGTTGATGCCGAGTGACGTTCTCCGAGAGATTTTGCACTAAACGGCAAACTTTCTCCGAATATTTCTCGCAATATTTGGGAAATAATGACGAGAAAAGCGACTCCTGAGAAGTCAAATTGTATACTCTTCTGGAAACATTCTTAACAATATTTAGATCATAATGAATTTTTTGGCATGTCGAACCAACCTCGCTAAGTACATTGAGTTCAATATTCGTGTACATAATCACCGTACTCAGAACGCCGCAAATCAGAATCCATTTACACTCATTTTATATAAGAAATCCTGGTATATTTGAACCGTTTTGATCGGATCATAACTCATTTTTTGTTCCATTGAGAGCCTGCAATTTTACGCATGTCTTTTGTCCACTAGACTTCCGAAGACTAACCTGCTCACGACAAGCCGCGGTTTCCGATAAGAAGACCTTTTGAATTTGTGTAAATCGAGCTCTGAGTTATTTATCGATATTTTCTTCCTGTTTCGGTTCATCTCTTGCATCGTTTTCACGAAAAACTTTGAAACGCTGAAAAAGACGCAAAAAATGTTACCTGCAGAGCTCTCTCCGAATCCGCAATTCTCAAATTCGTCGTTTTTTTGTCGGTCAATAAAATCATGGTATTCTAGAGAAGGCGGATACATAAATAGAACATAAGCATAAATAGAATTTTGAATATTGAATACAAAAAAACTGTTTTTCCTAACGACGCTCCACTTTTACAGGTGCGTTTATATTAGCAGCTTTGCAGCCGTTCGAACCTGATTCTCTCGGCGTTTTCTCCAGACCCCCTTTCTCTCCCAGTTTTCTCCCGTCGAATCTCTGAGTTCTTCTCAGTTTCAAATAATTAACTTTTGAGGTTTCCATTAATTTCTTGAGTTCTGAAAAAAGAAAATGTTTAAAACCAACAGGTTTTGCAAACTTTTAAATTTTTGGTCATTTCAAATATTCTATACATATTCCATTTTCAAAACCTGAGCCCTCTACCCCAATCTTTTTTTCAAGTGATGATATTTCAAAAGAAATCCTGCCACCTAAAATTCAAATTTACATCAACGAATGAAATCAGGAAAAAATATGAAATTTACAGTTTCATAAAATTATCAACTTAATGAAATTCATATAAAGAGTAATATAGCATTGTATTGACAAATATTTGTTTGAATAAATCAATATAAATTATTCAAATAAAAAAATCCAAATTTCCTAAATCTAAAATTCTTCAAAATAGTTTCAGTTTCAATAGTATAACTTTTGAGATTTTTATTAATTTCTTGAGTTCTGAAGAATAAAAATGTTCAGAACAAAAATTTTGGATCATTTTCTCTTGAAAAAAAAATCCGAAGTTTTTTTTCGGTTACATTGATTCCAGAAAATTTTTTTTAAAGTTAAAGTTTCAATCGTCAGTTAGTTCGGTATTTGCTTTTTAAAACCAAAAATTGGCTTGAAATGTCTAAAATCTGTAACAAATTAGACAAAAAACTCACTATACAGTTTACGGCCTAGTTTTTTTGAACAAAAAATCTGAAATTATCATATGTAAAAATAAAATAAAAATTGCAGTTCCATAAAACTTTTTGAAAATAATAAATGGGTAATTGATCGTTCTTAGCTACTTGATAAATAAATATAACTTTTCAATCTGATAAAATCAAAGTTCCAAAATTTTGAATTCTTCGAAATCTTTTCAGTTTCAAAAACATAACTTTTCACAATTCTGAGATTTTCATTCATTTCATTCCAGGAGGATTCCGCAAGTTTTCATTTTCAGTCTAACCCCTCTTTCCGAATTATGTTTCTAGCATGATGATATTTCCATATAAATGACACCAAAATTTCTAAATTTTGAAACTTATTTTACATAAAACTAGAATTTGCATATTTAAATAGTCGGGGAGGGTCATATGAAACCTATCGGGTGCTTAAAATTTTACTGTTTCATTGAAACACTTTTTTCCCATTTTTTAAATACTGTGTGAATAAAAAATGGTTGTTGTGATAGACTCTCGAGCCGATATGGCTCAGGAGAGGATTCTCATGAAAAAATTGAAGTGAGTTTTTAAATTTTTGAAATCTCTATTAAAAAAAAGATATCATTTGAATCATCCTTCTGTCAAACTTATCAATTTAGTGAAACGGTGATTTTTGAACAAATTTTTTTCAAACATTTTTTTTTCAAAAAAAAAAAACAAAAAAGTTTTTCAGAAAATACCACATTGGAGTCCTGGTACTATCTGTGATTGCTGTAATTCTTCTTCTCTGGGCTATTATCGCTACCGTATACAATTTCACTGGCAATCGACATACTGAACACGTGGTACTTGAGCCAAGGTCCAAATCTGCCAGATTTAGAAATGCAGCGGCAGTCGCGGATTCCAATTTTTGTGCTGAAATTGCAAGGTAATTGTTTCCTATATTTTTGTTAATTTTTTTTTTCAGTTTCACCAAGTTGACGAATGTTTTTAGTTTTGTATAAGAAATTATAATATTTGTAGCGTGATAGCAAAAAATTTTTAAGAGAACATTACCTTGCTCTTTGAGCTGAATAATCTTGGTTCCTATGAGAGCTATCAAAATTTTGTCAACTGACAAAATGTTTATCATAATATCTGCCATATGTTATCAATTGACTAATTTTGAGTATCTTTTAGAGGAACCGAGATAATTGATTTCAAAGTGTAGGACTATTTGAGCACTTGTGGTAGGCACAGCACTCAAAAACTACTTCTAATTTTTTTTCGATTTTCCTCAAAATTTCAGAGTATACTAAACAAAAATAGAGCTTTATTTTTGTAATTGACAACTTTTCTGTACAAATCCAAGGAAGCCTGATAAGCGGCTTTTTAGTGGCACAACTCATGTTTTGTGAATATTTGGAACTATTCATTTAGGTTATCTCTATGGAATTTTTAATACTTTTTCAGGGCTCCAAGTTTGTTATGTTTCTTTAAGAACGCAAAAATCTTAAATGCTGTAGTTTAGTACCCAAAACATACCGCAATCACTCCAATAGAATGACATCCTTGAGAATTACGGTATCTCAACAGGAAGCGTAGAGGGGTATACCAACTTTGAGGACACATCTCTCGGTTTCGGTAAGATATATCAAAAAGTTATCAACTGATGAGATATTGGTGATTTTATGATAAACATTTTGTCAGTTGACCACTTTCTGATAACTCTCACAGAAAATGAGATATATGGGCTCAAAGTTGACAGCTTGGTAGGTTGAAGGGGGATTGTTTTATTCAAAAATACACCGTTCCACAGAGTCACTTTTTATGTTTATAATATATTTTTGTTTTATCGGGAATCCTTAATACGTTGTTAAAACAAAAATCTCTTCCAGAAACATCATAATCCAAGGCGGAAATGCTGTTGATGCTGCGATATCAGCTACATTCTGTAATGGCGTCGTTCTACCGTATGCCACTGGAATTGGCGGTGGCGATTTCATTGTGATTTATTTGAAGTGAGTTATTTTGATGAATAAGAAAATTATTACTATTTCAAATTGTACTGATTGAGTTTGAAAAACGCAGTTTTGTAATGCTCAGCTATTACAACCCGACAGCAGTAAACCCTCCTCACTTTGACCTTTATTATCTCGGCTCCTGTGAGAGCTATCAAAAACGTGTCAACTGATAAACTGTTTATGATGTTATGATAAACATTTTAGCAGTTAACAGTTTTTTGATACCTTTATCGGGAACTGAGATAATAGTGTTCACAGTTTGGACGGGTCATTGGCTGCTCAGAGGACCCTAAATTCATACCGATTTTTCTCATTTCTTGTGAAAGATATTAAGAAACTGTCAACTTATAAAATATAACTAATGTTGTGATAAACACTTTATCAGTTGACAACTTTTTGATATCTTTCAAGGCAACCGAGATATATGAGCTCAAAGTGGGCAGTGTCTCAATTTTTTCTACGTTTTTCCCCGTTTCATTGTGATTTTATGTTTCAAATCAATTTTCCGTAATAATTATCTTCTCGAAGTTTTACGAAATTATCAAAGTTTCAAAAAATATGATTTCTGCAATTACAGAACAAAAAATCAGTGATGGTATTAGTTTTGAGTCGCTGAAAAATCATTTTTAGAACATTTTTACAGGAATATTCTGAAATTTTGAAAGGAGTTAATAAGATCAAAAAATATAATAAAATTTTTAAGAAAATGTTGAAACACTCAATTTTGCAGAGCAGAAAAGAAATGTGTCTTCCTGAATTCCCGAGAAACCGCTCCATCGCTAGCAACCAAAAATATGTACACCTCTGATAAGGAATCCGCTCAATTCGGCTACCAATCTATTGGCATCCCAGGAGAACTACACGGATTATGGACCGCCTATAAAAAATATGGGTCAAAAGTGATCCCTTGGTCGGATTTGGTGATGCCAGCTGCTCAATTAGCCAAAGGGTTCCCAATGCATCAGGCAATGTTTAATTTTTTGGATCGAATCACAAAGTACAAGGATCGGGCCGAAGCTCAGGCGTTGAAGAACTTGTATACATCGAAGTTTAGTGGGGAGTTTTATAAAGTTGGAGAGATTGTCGCTAATTATCCATTGGCAAAGTTGTTAAGAGTTATTGCAAATTCTCAGGATCCGGTGCAGTTGTTTTATAATGGTGAGTCCCCAAACTTTGTGTCCATATATCTCATTTTCTGGGAAAAATATCGAAAAGTGGTCAACTGATAAACTTTTAATCATAAAACCACCAACATTTTATTACAACATTTAACAAGTTTTTGATACCTCTGCTAGGAACCGAGATAAATTAGCTTGAAGTTATGGTCCCTTTAGAACCGACAATAGGCTGCCACTGATTCGTCCAAACTTTAAACTCAATTATCACAGTTCTTGTAACAGATATCAAAAATTTGTCAACAGATAAAATGTTTATCATAAAATTTCCAACATTTTATCAATTAATAACTGTTTGATATCTCTCACAGAAACCGAGATAAATTGGCTTGAAGTTAGGGCCCTCTTTGAGTCGCCAATAGGCCGCCACTGATTGGTCCAGACTTTGATCTCTATTATCTCGGTTCTCATATAAGACATCAAAAAAAATTAACTGACAAAATGTTGAGAATATTATCAGCAACATTTTATTATTTGATATATTTTTGATATTTCTCACAGGAACCGAGATAAATTGAATCAAAGTTACAGTTTTCAAAACTTTAAATAAAACTTTTGCTGTGTATCGTTGGAGCATTAATCATAAATTAAAAATTTCTCGAAAATCATAATCTCGAAACAGTATTATTTTTTGAAAATGATATTTTTCAGGATCCATTGCAGATGGAATCATCAAGGAAATGCTCGCCAATGGCGGCATTATTACAATTGATGACTTGAGAAATTATGAAACTCATGTTACTGGTACATTCAACTTTTTGAATCCATCAAAAGAGTTTTTTCTATTATAGAAGCCTTATACGCGGATCTCGGGAAGTATCGAATGTGTGGACCGCCTCCACCATCATCGTGGGTGATCACCCAGGCGATTCCCAGAATTGTGGAAAGTAAAGTTTTTTGTAGTTTGAACTTTTTGGGAGAAAATGAGGAGGTTTTTTGTTCGAAAACTCGAATAATTCAAAAATGATTATGGCCAATTGTTTTCGGATACAGTAATGAAAAAACGATGTCATATTTTGGGGATATTTTATTATATAAACCTATAACAGTGGAAATTAGTTAAACACTATCCAAAAATCTGAGAGACCGAAAATGTTTGTTACTGAACAAAATTTGATAAGGTTTTTTTGGAAATATAATAAGGCGAATCATTTTCATCTAGAAAAACACATTTTCAGTCATCCAGAATTTCCAGACTTAAATTTTGCGGTGATAATTAAAATTGGAATTTTAGATCCTAAACTTAAAAGGACCCAAAATTATTGTTACTGGACGAAGTTTGATAAAGCTTCTGCTATTATCATCAAGCAAATCATTATCATTCCGAAAAAAAAATCACATTTCCAACAACCACCTTCATACTATTGAAATTATGTGTCCTGAATGAACATTATGTGTACTTCATGGAACAAAAAACTTTCCGGTTACGGGACCAAGTTTTAATATGATTAAATTTGTTTGTTTTTGTTCACAAGCATATAGTGTACGGGTTAATGAGGAAACACGTATAGTTCAGTTGATTTTAGGCCATATTTAGTTGGACGGAGCTCAGCTCTCAAGTTTCCGATCATTTTTAAAATTTCGGAGGGTATAAGACAGACATAGATTGAAAACTTTACAATCACAGGATTTTTCGAAAAGTTTCTTGTTTTTCAGCTATTTGCCGATTTCTGAAAGACACCCGTTTTTGATGTTTTCAGTGCAAAAACGGGCCAAAAATGGGTTCTTTTTAGAAATCGGATATTGTAGGAATTTTCATAAAAATCTTTGAATGCAAATTTTACAATCTGGTCCTTTTTTACAACCTTCAAAACTTTCTAAGTAATTGGAAACTTGACAGCCGGGCTCTAGCCTCTTGAAAATGCTCAAAATGCTCAAAAACTGACTGAAAATCTTATTGACCAGTACTGTATGTATTTCCCCTGAAATCCCATTTTTGCCTGTTTCAAAGCCTCCACAAGTTATCCAAAACAATCATCTCTAGTACGAAAAGATCGTTTATTTCAGTGCAATACCGCGACAAGAAAATGTTCAACGACGTCGAATTCTATCACACTTTGATTGAGGCTCAAAAACTGGCCTACGGTCAGAGGGGACAACTTGGCGACTATCTTTTCTCGGAGAAATCATTGAATATTGCCAAGAATTTGACAGAAAGGTAGGCTTGAGATTTGAGAAAATAATACCGTACACCCTGTAATAGAAGGGTCTCCCAACTCCCAACTTTGAGCCCATATATCTCGGTTCCTGTAAAAAATATCAAAAAGTTGTCAACTGATAAAATGTTGGCATGATTGTCATGAACAATTTATCAGTTAACAACTTTTTTAAAACTTTGACAGGAACCGAGATATATGGACTCAAATTTGGATGTTTGGTAATTTTTTCCAGAAGCACCATGAAATTATTGTCAAAAAAAGTCAAGGAGACGGGTCAAGATTTGGAGTATTATTTAGCGGCAGGTAAGGGAAAAAATTGAACATTTTAAATTTTTTAAACGAAGAAGCAAAGACAGATTGATTTTTTAAAAACTGTATGATTTTTTGGAAATTTTCAAAACAGTTCTTTTTTTGAAAAAATTTGGAAAATTTTTTTAAATCTAAAAATCCGGAAATCTGAAATTTTTTTTTATTTCTAGAAAGTTTCGAATTTTTGATTTTCAGCACCTGCTGTTTTGGATAGTGGTACTTCTCAAATTAGCGTTGTGGATGATGATGGGAATGCTGTCTCACTGACATCTTCAATTAATACAGCGTAAGAATTTTTCCGAGAAAAAAACTTTTTTAGGTTCCACATTTTTGAGAAACCCAAGAACCT